CCGGCCGCTCCGTCTCCTCGCCGCGAATAGCGGACAGGTACAGGTGTATGTGTACGGGTGCAGGCTGCCTGCCGGACCGCCTGTAATGATAGCACCGCCACGGACTCCGTCTCGGATGTATGTTGAGAGTTAAGTCCCAGGGGGGAACGCCAGGGTCTTGCAGTAATAACACAAATCCTCACGGTGTGCTGGACTAGGGAGAGAAACGTTAGATACTCTTATGAGTAGAGTCAAGGTTTCTTCTGCCTGGCTGCTATAGCTTGGTATGCCCTGATGTGACGTGCCTTCTTTGTAATTTAATCACAATTTAATTCAGTAGTGAGCAGGGCTCAGGATGATGCCACACTTCATGCGCGGTGTTGCACGGTGAACGCCTACAACTGGATAGAAACACTGACCCCTTGTGGCCTGATAAGTGTTTCGGATATATTTCTCGATATTTACTGCTAAATGTATTTTAGTCGGGTGTGGAATTAACTAGATTTAGTTAAATGATGTTTTAACTGACGCTACCACATCATCACTGTTTTGCTTCTGGAAAAAACCCTGAAGTGGATTTATTTCATAAAAAATCTATTCTACAAGTACTCTGTAATCCTCTTTTACCATTGATTTCCAAACTCTGTTTCTTGTAGCAAAGACTTTTTTTTAATCTTCTACTTTTCAGTATTTTGTATGAAATAAAACTCAAGTAGGAAATAATAGCCAAGTTATTGGCAGAATAGTCTTAATAAAGACAATGAAAGCCACCAGTTGCACTTGTGGAAGAGTGTTTCTGGTGTTTGGCAACATTAACAGAAACTAGTGGCTGTTGTATGTTACTCAGTTATCTCCTGCAGATTCTTAAGGGGACATAAAACAAAATTGGATTTCTCATTTTTTTAAATGTCTTGGTGGTTAAATGTTTGTATGAAATATTATAAGGAAGTATTATGAAGAAATTTGAGTACTCCTTCAGTAAAAATCAATGACTGCTTTTTTGTTTTGATCAAGGGGACAAAAGGGTATTTGTTTTTATCAAGTAAACAATTTTCTGTAATAACTGTATTGCTTGAGAGGTCACACATCCTATTTCCTTATAAGTGCTCAGAGCAAACTTATAAAACAACTTTATAGAGCAGCAGTCAGGGCAATCAGGATATACTGCAACATTACACATTTCACATATGGTGAGCTGCCCATGAGAATACAATTAGAAATAGCCTCCCTTTAGTCATCTTCAGCAAAAAGTTTTCTGATTAAAATTACAGTAAGTAATATAGAGTTAAATGCCAGTTTTAATCTAAGTTCTGTAACTAGCAAGCATAAAAGCAGGGCTGGTGCTTTCCTTCACTGTTACCAATAGTCTGAATCCTTTTGGCATGTTGAATTTCCAAAGAATTCACCGGCTTGCCTACAACCGTAGACAAAGGTGGCTTTTTACATGCATCAAGTCCATTGTCTGTCATTTTGTCTTATCTGTTAATATGGATCTTAATTAAAATTAAATGTCTAAGAGTTGATCTCTGCAGCCTTTACCTCTTGGTGTTTTGGCTTCTGGAGCAGAGTTTGAGCTCTACACACGTTTCCTGCTTGGCCTGTTTCAAAGAAAGGGATGTGTATGTATTGTGCCCCAAAGAGGGCTGGACTCCAGAATCCTTTTCCTAGCTGGGACGTATGGCTTGGGAGCTCCCCGCTGATAGCGTGTGTCTGTATCCATTTGAAGAACTAAGCAGAGCTGCCCTCTCTCTCCTCTTCAATGCCTCTGCACGTTTGGGATAAAATGCAGTTCTTGGAGCAGGGTCTGGAGCCCAGGAATCTTGTGAACAAGAGTGTGTAACTTTGTAGTTACTCTGTCTAGCCCAATAAATCTTGAGTTCTTGTCTGGACAGTAACAGCTCCAAAAACACGTGGAGACTTTCACCAAAGTAGGCTTCAGAAGTCGCTCTCAGTCAGCATCACCCTCAACCCTCCTGTCGAGAAGGAAGTGAACTTGCCCTGTAGTTCATTGGTGGGTACTTAAGGCTGTCACCAGACAGGTCTCTGTTCTCCAGTTGTGACTTGAAGCTGTGGCTGGCACTTTTTTTTTCCCTCCCCTCAGAACATGGTCGTCTTAGTGTATGATGATAAATTCTTAATCCCACCACCAGGGTGAGCTTCCCTGAGATACTATTCTGTTTTAATCAGCCTCTCGTAGCCTGGTTAGATGAAAACTAGAGACCATACTGCTCCCACTCCCTAAAACTTTTCCCGAAAGAGCGACTTAAAAGTATTTGCCAAACTTTAAAATAAAATGCTAATAGAATTTAGAGGCCGGCAGTGTAAGGTAATCCCTCTGTGATCATGGATTGCCAAAAACAATTTTGGATGTTGTTACGTTTTCAGTCTTTATTGGATTTACCTCCATACTGATGCCGTTGGAGTTATCTAGAGTTGCGTCAAGGTTTACACCCGCACAAGAGCAGCGCAAGGCCGTATTAAAACCCCATCTCGCTGGTCTTGCCGAGGCATGACAACGCAGCCGCAGCTGGAGGGGGCAGGCCGTCTCCCTCGCCCGCTTGCTAGGCTCGACTGCGCAGAGCCGTCCAACTCCTGCAAGGGCTTTAAAGCTGCAGCTGAGGCACTACACGCGCTGCTGCTTTTTTTTTTTAATTTGTTATTTTTATGGAGTGGTGGCTTAGATTAAAACAAAGCAGCCGCTCACTCTTTTAAAAAAAAAAAAAAAAAAAACCGGGGGTTTCTTTTTGTATCTT